CTGTGATTAAAGCAATGGGAGAAGTAGCATCACTGTTCACTGTACAAAGAAAGCAGAGCCAATCCTCCTGCCCTTCCTTCCTTTTTCCCTCTAGTGTTACATGCCCCCTCTTTAACCTTTCTGACCTTGTCCATTACTTTCCCTTCTCTTCACTTGGTTTCAGCCACATAGGGTCCTCACTACTCTTTAAACACCCCAGGTTGTATCCCGCCTCAGGGACACTGCACTAGCTCATCTCTCAGCTCTTTCCCTGGTTATCCTGAGGGCTTGCTTCCTCATTCCTTCAGGACTTTATTCAAATGCCGCCTTCTCTGTGATAGCTCTTCTTACCATCTTGTTCAAGATCACAAACCTCTTGTAGCTAAAAGAAGGGAGAGATTTCCTTTTCACTGCTGTCCTGCACTTAGAATAGCATCTGGTACAAAGTATGCAATAAATATGAATGGAATGACGCCATGAATCACAAGTCAATTTGGTTCTAGTATTTGCATACATATGTTCTGAACTATTTAAGACAAGAAATTTGTAATTTCCCAATAAATAGAAAACCAAGTTACAGGGTTATCTATATTTCTTTAATATGAACTATATGTTTGAATTGTAAATGACCCAAAACTGAGGTAGATAAAATCAAAGAGAAATTAGTCAACTCAATTCAGCCATTCCAAAAGAAAAGATATAGGCTGGGGTTGTGGTTCAGTGGTAGAGTGCTCGCCTAGCATGCATGAGGCACACTGGGCTCGCTCCTCAGCACGACGTAAAAATAAAAATAAAGATATTGGGTCCACCTAAAACTAAAAAATAGATATAAAAAGATATGAACAGTGGGTCCCATGGAGTCCACCCCTAAAAAATGTTTAGGAGGGATGTTAAAGCTTTGTACAAAGAACAGATTCAATTTGGGGAACCATATTTTTTCCTGACTTCACATCGTGGCCAGACTTCTAGGTTGAGACAAGTGCTTAAAGGGGAAATCCTACCAAAACTATCAATTGATGATTTATCCAATGATTCCTTGTTACTGTGGGTGCTATGGTTTGTTTCAATGTCCCTCAAAGTTCCATGTTAAAAGTTCCTTGTTAAAAGCCTGGTCCTCAGTTCCACTACCAGAAGGAGGTGGAACATTTAGAAGATAAGGCATAGAAGAAAACTAGGCCACCAGGGTTAGGCCTTTGATGGGGATATTGGGACCTTGGCCCCTCCTCTTCCTCTCATTTTGTTTCTTGGCTGCCATGAGGTAGACCAACTTTTTCTCCCAAGGAGTTCCACCAAGGAATTCTGCCTTGCTTTGCCATAGACCCAAAGCAATGGGTTTGCCCAAACATAGACTGAAACCTCTGAAACTATGAGCCAAAATAAACCCTTTCTTTTATAAGCTGATTATCTCAGGTATTTGTTACAGCAACAGAAAGCTGACCAACATAGCATATATATTCAGTGGGCACCCCCCCCATATGCTCTCTTCACCATACCTCATTCTAGGTGCAAGGCAAAGAAAACTGACTATTGGCAGAAGAGGTCCTCCTGTGCTTTTAAGCTGAAAGGGTTGGCAGTTGTGACATCAAGCAGGTAATACTGCTTCTACCTTAGAACATCCGAAGGAAAAGATAACTCAAAGAAGAAAGGAAGACCCCACCTCAGGACTCAAGTTAGAAATGAGCAGGAGCAAATGTTCTGTGAATTGCAACTGTTCCCACCTAAAAGTGTTACAGTTAGAAGAATAACTTATTCCACATTACTCTAACATTGCTCTTGCAAATAATTATTCTCTGAACTTCAGAGAAGGGTCAATAGCCCCTTTCAAGACATGCTGGAAACAACAATAATAATGATGGTAGTGATGACAAACTAGGGCACAGTGCTTCACACACTCTAATTGCTTCTGATCTTGAGAAGAACTCTGGAAGGTAGGTGGTAATTCCATTTTATATGAACACTTGTCTAGCCAGTCAAGTTCAGCAATACTAGAACACAGACTCCTTTCCCCAGGGATGAATGTTAAAGACTTTCTCAGAGCTTTGCATGAAAAAAAAAAAAAAAAAACACTAAAAAACATGAATAAATAAACAAAACAGGAATAGGAAAAAATCCAAATGCCGAGACATTTCTTCCCAGTTGGTGAACATTCTGAGCCCCTTTATTGGCCCATGGCTAAATCCACAGCAGAACATAAATTCCAGAAACAACAAATACTGCTCTGGAGATAAAGTAAAATATTAAGTCTGCAGTTCTATACTTGGTAATCACATTTCAGAATTCAGAATTCAGCCATTTAAAATTTAGAATACACCATTCTAAAACCCAGCAATAGCACAATTTCCAGAATGGCCTTGGGAAGCCTGTTTAGCCCATTATTTAAAAAAAAAAAAAAACATAGTAGTATTCCAACTATCCTAATCAGCATTTCAATTTTGAAAGTCAAATCAAAATTCCAAACTACAACAATACGAAGTTTATCCCCTTCTCAGCTCAAGTGATCTCTGCTGGTCATAGGAAAGGAGAATAAGTAAGTACAGCCATGCGTCAATGGCTTATTAAGTCCCTATGCCTCATGATTGGTTCATTTTCTGGAACTGAAAATAAGAGCACTTGCTCTCCAGGGTTGGAAAGTAAACAGTCATGCAGGTCTAGGTCTGTCTCCTCTGAGATCTGGAAAAAGAGCTCAATGATGTTTCAGGTAAAATAAGGGCTTTTGACTTTATTTTTCAAACCACTCTTGCCTGGAATCCTAAATAAAGCCAAGATTGCAGTCATAGGATGACAGCTGTGAATACAATGAGTCTAATACTGTTCAACCTTTCCAGGAAAGGGCAAAGTTTTTCCTAATGCTCTTACTGTATCTTTGTTAAGAAGTGACTAGGTGGGCTGGGTTGTGGCTCAGCGGTAGAACACTCACCTAGCACATGTGAGGCCCTGAGTTCACTCCTCAGCACCACTTAAAAATAAACAAATAAAATAAATGTAAAAAAAAAAAAAGAAAAAGAAATGAGCAGGTATGCTGGTAGCCGAACAACATAGTTCTTTACATAAAACAAATAAAAATGTCAAAGTTGTGTATTTGTGGTTATTATACATGTATTCCAACAGGTAAGTAAACTATAGCCCATGGGCCAAATCCAGTCCATTAAACAGGCATATCCATCATTTTCACATTTTAAAGACAGAGAAAAAACCAGAATGTCAGAAGCAACAAGTGGCCTCTGAAACCTGAAACATTCTTTCTGAACATGCAGAAAATGTGATGGTCCCTGATTTACATAAATTATGTTGTACCTCTTAAAAAATAATTCTAAATTTCTCATGTATGCACAAATATGCATTTGTGCATGTACAGAAATTAATGTGGAACAGCACACACCAATCAGGTAACAATGGTCACTTCAGGGGAAAGAAAAAGATATTTGGGAGAGGAAAATGAAAGTTTTAATTTCATTGTTTGGATTTCTTGAAAATTATAGGCATACTTTTTACATGTCTAATTTTAAAAATACTTTAAGTTGTAATAAAGTACTTTATAAATACTTTAAAAGGATAATTTCCCTGAATACAGACTGGGATCGTAGAATTAATCAGAAATTGGGTTGGGATGTAGCTCAGTGATAGAAATTAGTACACCCCCTGGGCTGGGGCTGGGGCTCAGTGGTAGAGTGCTTGCCTAGCATGTGTGAGGCACTGGATTCAATCCTCAACACCATATATAAACAAATAAATAAAGGTCCATCAATAACTAATAAAAATTTAAAAGAAAGAATTAATTAAATTAGTACACCCAAATAGATTCAAAGCAGAATGATCCAAGGAGGTTCTTATACATTTATACCAACAGATATGCATTTGTGCATGTACAGAAATTAATTACAGTTTTAGGGGGACACAATATTTTTATTTTTATGTGGTGCTAAGGAGCGAACCCAGTGCTTCATGCATGCTAGGCGAGCGCTCTACCACTGAGCCACAACCCCAGCCCAAATCTTTATTTTGGAATGGCTGAACTGAGTTGACTAATTTCTTTTTGATTTTATCTACCTCAGTTTTGAATCATTTGCAGTTTCGAACATGTAATTCACATTAAAGAAATATAGACAACCCAAAGGCCAAATCCAATCCATGAAATAGGCAGGACTGAAAGGTAAAACTGGTTTTAACATTTTTAAAGAGTTCGAAAAATGTATGTGAGAGACCACATATGAAGACCCCTGAAGCCTAAAATTCCCTATCTGACCTTTACAGAAAAAGTGTGATGGTCCCTGATTTACATTAACAATGTTGCATCTCAAAAAATAATTCAAAAGTCCTCTTGCAAATGCCTTCAAAGTCATTTCTAAACACAATAACAACAATTTAGCTGTTTTTTCCTTTTAAACTCAAAGCAATATTAGCTATTCAGCTACCTCAGTTATCAGATTTGGCTCAAAAAACTGGTGACTTCAGCCTCAGGAGAAAGAGACATTTTCCCAATTACAATCTATATCCAGGAGCCTAACCAGAACATATAAGGGCACAAGGAGAAAACAATCTCAGATTAACCCCCTGAACAACCAAAACTAATTTTTTAAATTATTTTTTTAGTTGTAGATGAATATAATACCTTTACTTTATTTGTTTATTTTTATGTAGTGCCAGGGATCAAACCCAGTGCCTCACACATGCTAGGCAAGTGCTCTGCCACTGAGCCACAACCCCGGGCCCCAAAAATAATTTTTAAAATATATCAATTAAAGGGTTAGGGTTGCAGCTCAGTGCAGAGCACATGCCTAACATGTGTGAGGCACTGGGTTTGATTCTTAGCACCACATATAAATAAATAACCTTTTAACCTACTTAATTTGATTTAAAAGCAGTTTAGAACTTGGCAAGCACAAATATTTCACAAGGAGACAGTATCAACAGAAAGAGAACAAAGGCTATCACTACAGTAAACTAAGAAAAATTAAGACAATATCCTCACTCATCTCTGGAACACATTTTCCTACCTAAGTATGACATAGAAGGTACTCTACCTCAATGTCCTGGAGACTGAATTCTTTCTGATCTGTAAAGTTTGCAGCCCCAGCACTAAGTTCCATCAGCATCTTGGCAATCTCAGGCTTTATGGCTGAGGTCAGCCGACTGGCTGCTTCCATGACATGCTCCTGCACATCTTTGAGCTGCATGGCTGCCTTTGAGTAATGCGAGTTTCGGAACACAGTGCTGAAGAGATCTGTGAGGAAAGTACTGGCACGGCAGAAGACGTTGAGGGCGTCCAGGTATTTGGAGATACCCTGCTGGATGTCAGCGATGGGAGTGGAGTGTGGCATGGTATGGTGGCAGGTGCCTGCAGCAGTCAGACTGCCCAGGGGCGCAGAGGTGGCTGTGGATGCCAGGGGAGCGCTCAGTGCTCGGCCCAGCTCAGGCATCGGGTACTGCTGGTGCTGCTGTACCTTCTGCTTGGACCCGCCAAGCAGGAAGCGCCGCTTGTAGTCCATTTTACTGTCCTGGGCACTGCAGCAATACATGCGGGATGGGGAACTGTCCCAAGGACTGACAGCAGATCAGGGTTCTGATTCTTTTTTTTTTTTTCCCCAAAACTGCAGCTAGGTATAAAAATAGTGGAGTTCTGCAAATCTAAGTTTTAAAAAAGGCATTTCCATGAGGCAGATGATCATGTGATCCAACATAGAGGTGAGGACAACTGGTTTATATAATTAATATTTTCAGTGTAGACAGGACCACTGACAAAAAAATAAAAGTGTGTTCAAAATGCTGTATAAGAACTGTTTTGCATTCCACTCTCTTAATAAAAAGGTATGCTTTCTGAGGAAAATGTTTACTTATAATTGCTTTGGGAGAATATTTTGATACTTATATTTACAATGGCAAAAAAATAACTTAACTTTTTAAAAATGTAATATAATGTATCTTCAGTATACCAAAAAGTTAGAACCCCAAAACCCACAAGCTGATCAACAGCAATTTAAAAAGCAATACATGGTTACTACACACAAAGTCCTTAAGAAGGAAGATCAAACTTCTGCAGAATTTTGACAGAGCCTGCCTGTCAAATCCATTTACCTGTAAAGCTTCTCCTCAAAACTAAAAATTTCCAAATTTCCTGCAATGTTTTCTGAAAACAAGTTTTCTTTAAAAATGGCATTTGTTATTATAAGTGTTCTCCTCCTTTCCTTTTGTTTGCTGAGGTAGTGATTTCCTTATAACATTAATAAAAGGTGCTTGCAGACTGGGTTGGCCCTCATTTACAAAGTCTGAAGCAAGAATGCACAGATGTATTCATAAGGCCTCTAAGTCATTTCCTGTAAGGGGAAAAAAAAAGAAGATAAAGTCAGGAAGGCCATAAGACAATGAGGAATTCTGAAACATTAATTTATGCAATGTTATCATCTACACAGGCAGGCTACAAATGAATGAAATAAAATATCATATTATAAACTTAAAGAAGCAGGACAACAGTAAAAGTTGAACTGTGAAATGATTACTGTTAGAAAATTCCTCAAGGGCTGGTGATGTAGCTTAGTGGCAGGGCATTTGTCTAGTATGTGCAGGCCCTGCCTTCACTAAAAGGGAAGAAAAAAGAAAAGAAAAGAAAATTCCTCAAGTTGTAGTAGAAAAATAATGCAACAAGGTAAATCTGATTCCACACCAACCACTCCAAAACTGAGGCTAACCTGTGACACCTTGAACAAGGCCTGGCTTGTTTTCCCCCTTAGGGAGTTCACTAATCGGCAAGAAGATTGGATGAATTCACTTGTCCCTTGGTATCCATGGAGGACTGATTCCAGGACTCCCTGAAGGTCTCTAAAATCCAAGAATGCTCAAGTTCCTTAAATAAATGGCACTGTATTTGCATATAACATATATACCATCCTTCCCTACACTTTAAATCACCTCTAGATTATTTATAGTACCTAATACAATGTAAATGCTATGTAAAAAACTGTATTGTTTAAGGAATAAAAAATCTGAACACATTTAGCACAGGTACAGTTTGTTAAAAAATATTTCCTATTTGGAATTAAACCTGGAAATGTGGAACCTAGACTAAGACATCTGACTAAGCTTTTGGTGAAAGAGATTAATCTCCTCACAAAACTTTGAAGAGATCAGATAAAGGAAAGATGGGCACAAAGATGAGAGAAATCAGGAAGGCTGTTATGAAAAAAAAAATTATTCTGAGGTAGGCCTTGATTGTAGGATAGATTTTGAGTAGTACAAAAGGGACACATAGGCGCTCACCAAGTGAAGAATCATCTCAGCAAAGGCCCTGAAGCAGGAGAGCACCAGATCTGTTCAGGATATACCCAGCTGGGCTAAAGTACCTCGCGCAGAAAGACAAAATCTTGAGAGAAAAGTGGCTGGCAGGTGGTTTGTAGACAGGATTCTTCTAATCACAAGCCAAATACCAATTTCTCCCTGGGTATTCAGAGAGGAAGCTTGGAAAAATATGCTGTTTTTCACTCCCTGGGGTAATTTCTACAGAATCTCTGGCTCTGGTTAGCAATATCTGGACATCACTGGTTATAGTTTCTGATACCTACAACAGAAAAATAGCATATTCTCACTGAGCTAACTTCAGGGGTAACATTTGCTTGAACTACCTGTTCTGTCAAACATAGCAATAGTTAAAATATATTTTATTAAAAGTTATATTTTTAGTATATACTAAACTTCAGCATATATAATATCTATGTATAGTTTGGTGTACTTTTTATTTTCAATGTTGAGGACTGAACACAGGATCAACTTGTATGTGCTAAGCAAGTGCTGTACCACTAAGCTACACATCCAACTCTGGTCTACTTATTAATGACCAGTTTCTTTCTTTCCATTTTCATTTTTGTACATAAAAATACACATAAATAATACTTTGTCACTTATCATGGCCAATCATCAACTCCTTTAAAGTTCTATAACTATGTAAGGAACACAGAAAGTTATTTTATAAGAGCAAGAAACAAAGAGTGCTGAGGACACAGACATACATGTAAATTCACCTATGGCTCTGTGAAATTCTTGACCCTTAAAGAAGAAAAAGACAAACAAACTGATAGCCAGGCATGATGGCACATGTCTATAGTCCCAGAACTTGGGAGACTGAGGTGGAAGGATCACTTGAGGCCAGAAGTTTGAGGCTAGCCTGGACAACACAGCAAGAACTCAGCTCAAACAGAAAGACAAAAACAAACAAACAAAAAGCTCATAAACTTCTCCAGAAACAAGTAACAAATGGCTATTGTAAGAAATCTGATCCCAGTTGTTCTTTTTCCAAATTCATGACAATAAGGCAATGGTACCTAACCTTGCCCACTTGCTACATCATAATTAATTCTAATGTATAAAAGCAGCACTCAACAGAAACAAAGAAGGCTGTTCCTGTGGAAACTCTGTGGCTGTAAAGGAAAACCTTTGCCTTGAGTTCACCACAGTGTCTTGAGTAGACCAGAGAAGCACTTTTTGTTCAGTGATGCACCAAATTTCCTAGTTCCTGGGCATCCTCTTCCACTGCTATCTCTGGCTCTAGGAGAGCCCATTCCCATTCCTTTGGCAGGTGGACCTGCAAGACCAAGTTGCTTACCTAACTTCTAAAAACAATCAGAAACATTAAACTTTTTTTAAAAAAAATTTGTATCCTTCCAAAGTTTATTTGAATTATAAGTATTAAAACTATTTCAGCCAGATGCAGTGGTGCATGCCTGTAACCTCAACTACTTGAGAGCTGAGGCATGAGAATTGCAAGTTTGAGGCCAACCTCAGCAACTTAATAAGACCTTGTCCCAAAGTAGAAAATAAAAGAACTGGGGTAGAGCTCAGTGATAAAACACACCTGGGATCAATTCCCAGTACCAGGAAAAAAAAAAAAAAAAAAGACAACTTCACAAAAATTCATCTAAAATTAAATAGTGCAGTCTCTATCAAAATTTAAAGTAAAGTTTTAGTGGAAATGGGCAAGCTGACCCTAAAGTTCATATGGAAATGCAAAAGATCCAGCATGACCAAAATAAATTTGTTTTTTGGGGGGGGAGAGCTGAAGGAATCATATCATACTGATTTTAAAATCTACTATAAACACATTATAATCAAAGCAGTGGAGCACTGACATAAGGAAGGACACATAAGTGACTGGAACAGAACTGGATGTCCAGAACTAAACTCAAATACTTAGGCTTAATTACTTCATGGAGTTTGTTTCCAGTGGTAGGGATTGAACCCAGGGCATGACTCGTGCATGTTAGCCAAAACCTTTTATAAGGGTATCAAAACCATTCAATGGAGAAGGAATAGTCTTTTCAATAAGTGGTGCTAGGGTAACTAAATATCCACATACCCAAAAATGAATGTGACCAGATGAGGTGCCCCATCCCTAAGTCCCAGTGGCTCATGAGGTTGGGGCAAGAGGATGGCAAGCTCAAAGCCAGCTTCAGCAATTTAGCAAGATCCTGTCTCAAAATAAGAAATTAAAAAAAGGGGCTGGGGATGTAGCTCAAGCGGTAGCCTGCTCGCCTGGCATGCATGCGGCCCGGGTTCAATCCTCAGCACCACATACCAACAAATATGTTGTGTCTGCCGAAAACTAAAAAATAAATATTAAAATATTCTCAAAAAAAAAATTAAAAAAGGCCTGTTGGTGTGGCTCAGTGGTTAAGCACCACTGGGTTACACCATCAGTACCAAAAATAAAAGAATGAATGTTGTGAACCCCTATTTCACATCATATACAAAAATTAACTCAAAATAAATCAAAGATTTAAATATAATAATTAAAATATAAAACTCTTAGAAGAAAACAAGTGAAAATTTTTGTGAGCATGGGTTAGACAATGGTTTCTGAAACATAACACCTAAAGCATATGCAACAAAAAATTTAAAAATTGGGTTTCATCAAAATAAGAACTATAGCTGGGGATGCAGCTCAGTATTAGAGCACTTACTTGCCTGGCATGCATGAGGTCCTGGGTTCAATCTCCAGCACCACACCCATGCGCACTTGCACAAAAGAAAATTTTAAATGTTTATAGAAGAATGCAGTGGTGCACAGCTGTAATTCCAGTTACATGGGAGACTAAGGCAGGAGGATTAAAAATTCAAGGGCAACTTAGCAAGACCTTGTCTCAAATTAAAAAATAAAAAGTGTTGAGGGTATAGCTTAGGATAAGAGTGCTTGCCTAGCATGCACAAGGTCCTGGGTTCAATCCCAGCAGCACAAAAAGAAAGAAAATTCAATTAAAAAGGTAGCCAAATCATGAAAATGGAAGGGAGACCAGTAGAGTAGAGGAAAAGAGAAAATGAGGGGGAAAGAGGAGGGGGGAAAGGGGAGGACGGGAAAGGGGAGGAACTGAGGGATAAGGCTGACCAAATTTTGCTGTGGGCATGTGTAAATGTACCATAGTGAATTCCACCTTTATGTACACCTATAAAGTAATAATTTATAAAAACAACAAATAGATGGGGAGAAGGTCAGTAGAGTAAGGAGGTGGTATGGGGAGGGGTATGTTGGGGAAAAGAAGAGGGAAGAGGTACTGGGGACTGAAAATGGAGCAAATTATATTCCATGCATGTGTGATTTTGTCAAAATGAAACCAACTATTACATATAACTATAATGCACTAATAAAAACATACAAAAATGTACAATAACCAATGTTAGTGAAAATGTAGAGAAATTGAAATCCTCATTCACTGTAAGTAGAAGATTAGATGAGCACTTTAAACAGTTTAACAGTTTCCTCAAATGGTTAAATATACACAACCCACAAATTCAATTCCTATGCATATATCCAAAAGAAAAGAAAAAAAAATCCACATACTAGGCTCAGTGGCACACATCTGTAATCCCAGTTACCTGGGTGGCTGAGGCAAGATAATCACAAGTTTGAAGCTAGCCTGGGCAACTCAGTGAGACACGATCTCAACATAAAAATAAAATAGGTTGGGAATGTATTTCAGTGGTAAAGTGCTTGCTTGGCCTGTGTAAGCCCCTGGGTTCAATCCCTAGTAAACAAGTTCATAAAGAAAATCCTATACTCAAACATTCACAGCAGCATTATTTATAATAGCTAAAAAGTAGTAACAACTCAAATGTCTATCAACTGATAAATGAATTTAAAAAAGCTATATAATGGAATATTAATCAGGACAAATAGGAATGAAGTCCTGACAAATGCTACAATGTGTATGAACCTTGAAAACATTGGGAAAAGTGAAAGAAAAACTACATACAAGAAAGCATATATTATATAAAATATCCAGGATAGGCAATTCATGCAAATATAAAGTAAATTTGTAGAGAGCTGGGATTG